TATTTGTCCAGTCTGGCTGGCTGCAAGGTGATCTATAACTGCTGGACTCTTGTCATGTCCATCTTTTCTATAGCTCATGAGAACCATCACTGAATGCATTGTTCACGCTGCTCGCCATGAGCAGGCCCTATCCATTTCACCTGTCCTCGCTGGTGCTGGCACCAGCATTGCAGCTGTGCAGAGCAAGTCACTGCTGCTCACTCAGCTTCCCTGAGAATCAGCCCCTGCCATGGGTGTACCCTCCCTTTGAAGGCCTGCTGCCTGTGCGCTCGTGCTAGGAAGGTCAGCTCCTGCTGCGGACACGTGGCCTGTTGAGCAACGTGAAGCTTGCACCGCGCATGGACTATTTTGCCGCGATGAGACTGGTGAGCAGACATGGACATGGACATTATCTTAACTGATGATGCTGCGAGGTCTGCTAGACCTGCTATCCATGTGAGTTCTGTCAGCTTCTTGTCTATTTATTGCCTGCTGACTTCTCACAACTCAACCAGGTCAAGAATGTGTTCCTGACCTTGCACCAGCACCATATGTCAGCGCCTATCAGCTTGATGGACCCTGTGGTGCACAGTGGTGCGTTGTCCTTCCTGCTGCAGCCACCCTGCCATGTGCAGCAGTCATGCGAGTGGGAGCTTGAGCCTGGAGTGGCATGGCATAACAGTATAATACTTCTTTAGTAGCTATCAGTAGTAAAACCAATTGAAGTTTATTTGTGCAAAACATTAGCATTTGGTATGCATGAAAGCAGAGCCTGAATGGCCAAATCCTCATGAACAGCACACTTGCTCTGTCTTATAAGCCATGCATAGATGCCGCAAATTATATAGTATTATATAACTATACAATATACATATATGTTATGCAGACTATAAACCCTACAATTATGACTAAAATTGGCCAGATCAAAAAACGCCACCAATCTATATATGCTCTTACTGAGAGTTTGAAATAGTTTAGTGTATCAGAATGGTTTCCAGATTGTGTATGGGTATATTTAAGATTATGAGAAATTCACCAAAAGTCTGGTGTGAGACAACTGAGGTGGCAGCACATTCTGAATTCTAAGCTCCTGCACAAGAGTAGCATAGGGAAAGTCGTGCAGTAGCATGCGATTTATTCCAATGGGATGTACCATTGATGGTGCCCCAGGGGGCGCAGCGGCGGAATGACCTTGTGATTAAACCTCGGCCATCAAGGCTCAGGCGGTAAGTCTGACGAAGGGGACGAGAAGAGTCAGGAGGCGGTCGAGGCATCTGCGCGAGTGCCCATGAATGTGTGACATCAATGCTGTGATTTTGACCACATCCTCGTTCTTTGTAGGCTACAAACTCGCTCATGCCTGTTACGACAAGCCAAGCCACCTTAACATTGATCCTACGAGAGCATTCGCTCATCTGTTAAGATAACGCTTAGTGCAGCTAATTGGCAAATGTGCCCCGTGCACTACTGAGACGGTCACTTACTATGTGGGCAGCCCCTTTGCTCTATAACATGTACAACCTCACCCATATCATTCCGTAAATTCACCATTGATGCCCGCTTGCGTGAATTTCCTGCGACCACGCTCCAGATTGACCCGAGGCTGGGCAACGCGGCTCTTGCGACGGGCTGGCAGGCGCCAGCGGTGCTCGAAAATGGGCTTGGAAACGCAGATTCTCTCAACGGTCTGGAGGAGATGCCGAGGTGCCGAGAAGGTTTGGATGCGGCAATCTAATCTGCAAACCTCTTCAGACGGCTGCGGGAAGGCATCCATTGATACCCTTGTCATAGTCTGAGCAAGGAGTGTACTATATACTGTATGTAGCAGCGTCACACGTCACACACCACTAGACGTATTTCTTATCTAGCTCAATATCACCCGTCACAGTCAGTCAGCTGCTATATCTGCACAACTTTCTTCTGCAGCGCCGGTCTCTTGTTAGACCTTAGGCCAGAAGTCGCAACCGCCTTGCTACAACAAAAGAGGAAGTGATTCATCTCGTGTTTGCTCTCCGAGCAAGAATGTGCTGCGCCCGGTGATCACCGCATTGCCTCTGCGGTGTGTTGTAGGAATCTTCGCGCAGGCGGGGGACTCACGAATAATGTACGATAAATTGTCGAAATATTACACCGTGTTCTTTTATAGCTATAGTATTTCCTAATCTAATCATAACCAATGAAATGTCCTTACAAAGGCTAGACTAGGTACAAACGAGTCGGGGTGTCAAACGGGCGCCAGCGTAGAGTGCTCTGGGCGTGTCACATCTAAATAAAGAAACCATGACGCGGAGCGCGTCATGTCAGAGAGCATGGGACTACGAAGTGCATCAGCGCATTGTCAAATCATCGGGTACGCGCCTCAGATACAACAACACGGTGATGTCGAACATGTGCGAATGATGCTTGGTGATACATTCGCGATCAATCGACCTCAATCAACACCCAAAAACGTTTTTACAGAACAACGAACGCGTTAGATTGCCATGATGTGCACCGCTGCACTCAGGAATATAACAGCCGGCTCCCTGCAACCACTCGTGTTACTTCTCTCCGCCCCTATTCGTCGTCTGCGTTGCATGGATCTGCACGCTGCCAAAACGCTCTTGGAAGCGTTCAGCACCTCTGTCAGGCATGTATGGTCACCAGGGTCGGCGTACGTACCACGCGTCCCCTGCTTCAATTCCGCCAGTTGCTAACTGTTTGCCCTAGGTTGTTCGCTGTTATAGAACATGGAATGAGCTCACAGGAGGTGGCCATGCTCTGTGACAGTGAGTTGCAGAGGCTGGCACTAATGATGGAAAAGGTCCGCTCAGCGCTCTCAGACGCGTGCGTGCAGGTTGCAACGTTGCGCAACCGAAGCTCTCCCGTCGGTCGGCTGCCTGATGACGTACTCTACCTCGTCTTCCATACCTGTGCGTACGCTGGGACCGCGCGCGATCAGCTCTGCACAAGCCTTGCAATCTCCCAAACTTGTTCGCACTGGCGACAGCTTTCACTGTCATGTTCCCTGCTCTGGAGCCGCGTGGATCTGTCAAACATACCGGAGAAGTTGGCGCAGCTACTGTGTGAGCGCAGCGGCAATTGTGCTCTCAGGTTCAGCTGGCCCGTCTCTTTATACACGACACCCCGTAGCGAGTTCGCCGTCAAGCTCTGTACCGAGAACTTGCTGCGAGTTACGGAGCTCAGCCTCGTTGCAACACAAGTCCAGCTCGTGCCCTAGGTGTATGAAGGCAGCGCTTCACAGATACACGAGGTCTTTCTGCAGAATGCAGACGCATTTGCGTACGCCCCGCTGATCCTCGATTGTCCCCTGTTCCGTGGAGAGACCCCGCACTTGCATCACCTGTCCCTCGTGGGCATACGCATACTGTGGGCTACGGGCAATTACCGCAACCTTCGCACGCTCAAGATT